ATCCTTCTTGGTTTCGAGGTTTGATCTCGGAAGATTACTGACGACTGTCGACCACTCATATAATTCGCCGACCATCGCTTCAGTCCCTGTGGGAGTGAGGAGGCCTCGATGTCTTCTAGCAGCCTGGAATGGCAGACGGTGTCAAACGCCTTTGACAAGTCCAGCGCTACTAGGACCGTTCTCTCACAGGGGCGGTTTCAATTTTTGCCACGAGTATTTGGGAGTTTATGGCGTTAAGTGCTGTTGTTGTGCTGTGCACTTTACAGAATCCGTGCTGGTGCTTCGCTGGGGTCAGGTGGCAGGTGAAGTATGGGAGTAGTAGGACCTCAAGTGTCTTCCCAACCGGGGAAAGGAGCGTTATCGGGCGATAAGAGTCTCCTTTGTTGGCGGGCTTCCGCTGTTTCAGCAGTGGGACCACTCTCCCGGATTTCCACACATCAGGAATGATGAGAGTGGCCATAGACAGGTTGTGGACCTCCGTTAGGTAAGCTAATCCCTTAGGACCTAAATGGTATAGCATCAGCATANTGGCTTTGGAGGCTTCCGCCTTCCCGATGGCCCCCTTCACTTCACAGCTGGTGAAAACAAGTGGTGCACTGTTTTTTGGCAGCTTGTGCAGCCTCCTGGTCACTCGACGTTTGGCCCTGTCTACCGAAGGATGCAGTGTGAATTACCTGCTAAAGAAGGCTGCGAATTTCTTCGGGTCCGACGAAGCGCGACCTTCGAAAGAGATTTCCACTCTGTCATCACGCTTCGTTGGGTTAGACAGATGTGAAGTTACAGGCCTTCAAGAGCTCCTCCCACTTTTTCCGCTTATGCTGATTTACCAGTTGCCGAATCTCCAAATTAAGGTCCCTCAGACGAGGGTCCCCGGGGTCGACCTGGCGTAGGTGGTCACGCTCATTAGCTAGTACAGCTGGTTCGGCTGGGAAATTTGGGCGGACTTCCGCGATACGTCCGGACGGGATGAAGCGAGCCGCTGCGGCAGTGACTACCCTGCGGAACTGGCGTTCGCCAGTATGTATGTTTGTGGGTGTGGGAAGGGCGGCGAAGCTGCTCTCGGTGACTTCCGCGAAGCCGTCCCAATCAGCTTTGTTGAAGTTGGTGTAGATTCGGTGGTCCGCGGGAGCAAAGTCGGTGGGCTTATTGATCGAGATGATTATGGGTAGATGGTCTGATGCTAGTGTTAGCATAGGTCGCCATGAAATGCTATTGATCAAACCAGCGCTAGCAATTGTGGTCTGGCGAGCTGCTGCAGCTACCCATAATCCTGGTGGGGCGTCGTCGTTCATGGTGCAGAATTTCGAATCGTCTATCTGCTCAGCCAAAAGGTTTCCCCTACGATCATTGGCCAGGCTTGAGTGCCATAGATCGTGGTGCGCGTTGAAGTCACCTACTACCATTCGGTTTTCACCTCTGAGTAGCGCACATATGTCAGGGTCATATCCTGCCGGGCTGCAGGTGACAGGGGGTATATAGACGTTGAATATTTCGAGCTCGACATCGCCTGACCGGACAGCTATGCCTTGACATTCTAGGGTGGTGTCCCTCGGGTCGATGTCTTCTTCGATAAGCCGATACTGCGCTGTGTAGTGTAGGATGGACGCTAGTCCGCCACCATTATCTCGCTCGCGATCTTTACGGAGCACATTGTAGGCGGCGAAACCCAACAGAGTTGAGTTGCTGTGCAACTTCGTTTCTTGGACCACAGCTATCAATATGCCATGCCAACCCATAAAGAGCAGCATGGGAGGTTTGCTGCTGCCCAGAAGAGCTTCTCGGAGCCGTGCAGGCTCTTCGGGTGTTCGGTGCGTTGCGCGAGCGGGTAGCCGTGGAGGCTGATTGTGCCGTTTGGCTCGAGCAGCAGGGAGCCACATAGCTTGTGGTCCACTCCCGATGAGACCTAAGACCAGAGCAGGTTCTTAGGTGACTCCATCCGTTGCATGAATTGCACCTAACCGAAGTGGAGTTTGGATGGAGTCGATTCTGGCAAACATAGCAGAAATACGTTTCTGGTCCGGGGTTGGGCTTTACGCCCGCCCGGAGAAGAAGGATGCGGAGCAATCCGGCTGCAAGGAGTTGCTCCATGGACGAACAATGATTGAGGGGTATCGCCGATCTAAGCGGGGTTAGGTCGCCGAAACAAAAACCCTTGGTCGGGTAAAACCCGAGTCATTCCGGTACGTAGAACCGGCTGTCTTGGGAATGTAAGTTTTTGCCTCTTTCTGATTGGCTGAAGGAGAAAATTTCTGATGCTGAATGGCAATGCCTCTTGTTCAATATACAAGCCAAGATAGCTTTTCATAAGCCAATATAATTATGTTGGGTAAGTCCTCCATACAAAATAAGCTAATAGCTTAAATTTCTGGACAAATAAAACACGGCTAGTGTTGCCACGTTTGCACGAAAAATTATTTTTGGGCCAGAGTACAAGGAAACTCTTATTAAATTAATAAATAAGCACTGAAAATCGGGACTTAATCGGCACAAACATGAAAAATCGGAGCACTTATACGTCCCGACTTTTAAAAAATATTCAGCGGGACAATGTCCTTAAAATTGGTACTGTCCCGCCAAAATCGGGACAAATGGTCACCGTATATATAATGCATATGGCTCATTCCACGGTGACGGGTGTGACATTTCAACTCACGTTTTAAAATTTTTTAAAACGAGTATTTTCTAATAGGTTTCCGAGATATACACAATGCCTAGAAAAAAATTTCAAAAACAATTTAATCCGAACGAGTTATCTGAATTTTAGTCACTGTGACGGGTGTGACGAGTACGCAAACCAAATTAGCTACTAAATACTTACTTGTATCAGAGTTTTTCTGCTAATTACGTCTTCTGCTTATGGTTTTAAGTAGTTCTTTGTATAGTTAAATGAACATTCTCAGCATTTACGCCAAAGTTGCTTACCTCTATTGGAAATTATAGATTATATGTTCCAAATTCAACTGTGACGGGTGTGACAAGTTGAGCATAAATACATAAATACACATTATTAGACAACTAAACTAACTTTTTTCTCAAAAAATCGGATTTTACGAACACATGCTAGATTCTACCACCTAAAGACGGGATAGTCCTTGATCGGACTCTTTATCTCCATTGCATGCCTGAGTAATTGTAAAGTATGATGTATTGTGGAACAACCAAAAAGAAATTGTAAAGTACCTTATTTTTAAATAGTATGAGGCTGTTACCTGCAAACCAAGGCCGTTACCTGTAAAAACCGTTAAAGATACTGTTTTTGCCCTGACAAGCGAAGTAATTGTTTCTTTTTATCCGTGACAGCATAGCTTAAGTTTTCCCATCGCTCGAGCAACATAGTTTTATGATTAGCTTTATCATCGCTGATCACAAACAGATATATGACACATTTCAGATTAGCACATAAGTAACGGCTGAATTTATTGAAGTTTGTCGAATTTTAAATTGTGACGGGTGTGACATGTGACGGGCGTGACCAACATAATCGGTTCATGTGTCATAGCGTTACTTTCGTCAGCTTTTTTACACTGTCCAAGATGTGTTTTTCTTCAAAAATAACTATTTTGTGTATTTTGTGACGGGCGTGACCAACATAATCGGTTCATGTGTCATAGCGTTACTTTCGTCAGCTTTTTTACACTGTCCAAGATGTGTTTTTCTTCAAAAATAACTATTTTGTGTATTTTGTGACGGGCGTGACATGGAAATATGCTTTGCTTCAATATATAATAAAACATTTAATACTTGAAAATTACGCCATTGCAATGCTAACGAATTGATCTGTTGTTGTTGTTCTAGCGGCTACAACAACCCCGCCCAGATCGGTTGATATCTCAGTCGTTGTCGTCAAGTTCCACTAACGGCAGCCCTAAGAAGCGTGCAGCCTCCACTGGGTCGGTCCACAAGGACAAAGCCGTTAGGGTTGTCGGGTTTTCCGGGCATGCGAAGAGATGTTTCGAGTCGTGAGGGGTCTCTCCGCATGCCGGACACTCATTTGGCACATCCGCGTTTAGTCTGCTCAGGTATGAGTTTAACCTGCTGCAGTAGCGAGCGAAGTTGGGCTACTGTGGTTCTTGTCTCACGAGGAAGATGAAGCTCCTTTTCGCCAATGTCCGGTGGTTGTGTGCCTAGAACGGCATTCACAGGTCTGGAGTCTACATAACTCGAGACTGACTCCCTGTGAAAGCCGTTCAGAGCCTGTCGGTATGCTGACGGGTCCAGAGGCCGTCAGTTCGTATAGATGCCTCCTGACGTGCCTAGGCGAGGGCTCCTCTGCAAGCAGCTGTCTGTTTGGGTGGCCACATCTCTGTAATTTGGCTTTAACAGATTGAAAAAATATCAATTAGTCGACGAGTTATAACCAAAAAACCATCTAAACAATATTCTGAAAATCGGCATTTGACTGCAAAGTTCGAAGGTCGATTAAAAAAAAATTCGAACTAATATAAACAAACGCCGCGATACGGGTCTTCTAATTTAGCCTCTATTTTCACCCCTCACTCTCAGAATCGACCTAACTTTTGCTAACCTNCATCGTTTGAGCCTCTGTGGGAGAGAGGAAGCCTCTATATCTTCTAGTAGCGTGGAAGAATATGAGCGTACATAAACGAATTGTTCTCTCCATTGACGGCTTAAACAATGCAAAAAGGTAATAGACCACGAAAATCAGTCTTGTAAATTTAGAAAAAATTTAACCTCTCATATGGGTTTTTAAATGGTAAATGGTACAACCTAAAGTAAAAAAATATCTGATTTTGAGATAAATTTCGGAATTTCGGCTTTCAGTCTTGAAAGTTAGATTTATTTACTCTTACTCAATAGAATACAGCCAAATTCTTATGTTTATTTTCGTTTCATACGGTATCGATTACCGTGGAATGAGCCATATTGAGTCTCTTTTATTTTTAAGAATTTTCGTGTTAGTGTTTAGTTGAGACTATTTTTTAAAAACTTATTTCCCGCCTATTTTGTTTCTTGAGGTCAGTACACAAATACACATATAATTAAAATTGAATCTGATAGTTCAGTACAGCTCCACTTTATTTACTATTTTTGTTATCAACGTTTCAAATGCCTCTTCTATCATGGATATGTACTGCTGTGTATCCTTGAAGCACTTTTGTTTCGTATTTGATGTGAGCTGCATTTGAGTGGAGTTAATGCCTAAAGTGCCTTGCGAATGCAAGCTCCTTCCAGTTAGCATAAGTATATTAATACAGTCATCAACTAAAATAGGAAAAGCCTCCGCGAATCGAATAAGGGCTGGTAGAATGTTACTCAAAAATTTGCATTTAGCTTGTGTAGAAAGTAACGACAAGGATGATTGAACCGTATTTATACAGAATTTTGCAACACTTAAGCTTTTAGGTATAGCGTATTTAAGTACGAGATGAGATGCCAAATCTATGGTGAATATTTGTTTATCCATTTCCGGCATAGTAAGAAACTCGTGAAGAAAATCAATACAAATATGCATGGAAGGAACACCCATTACCATCATTGGTATAACTTCTCTCGGATATGTTTGAAAATGTACAAGTTTAGCCAAAGAAGGCTCAGATATAAAAGCTTGATGTATGAAGGAGCAAATTATGCCTTGCGTTTCCCGTAAGCAAAAAGTTGATACTGTATCAACGGCATTTTTATTCATATCAGCTAAAACTTCTAGGAGTATGTGGACAGCCGCGCTCTCCTGTGAAGCAATCAAAGCTGTTTTCAACTCGTCTCGATCGCTGTCACACTGCAATTGCCCATTTTTGTCTAATATCTGCTTAGATTGCATCTGGATATTGAGAAAAGCTTTGGATGCTGCCAAACTTCCTTGCAAAATGCGTAACAGGATCATAAGAGTATGGGGGGAATAGAAGACATGCTTTCCACACCTGAAATTCATAAATAGTTTAATTATGGAAAATATAGAAATTTATGTGTGTATGTACATTAGAGTGGTCCAAAAAAATAAAGTCACAGTTTTAATACCGGCACACCCTAGGATTGATCTATATCGAAAAAAATATACCCCTATTTTTATTTTGAGATCAAAATATATTTAGAGAGTGCTCAAAGCGCTCAAAGTTTTCCATGTATTTTATATGGAGAAAAAACATCTTTTCGTAGAAATAGTGTAGAATTCTTGAAAATCAATATTTTTCGATCGGAAAACTTTACTTATCTTCAGGAGATTCCCAGTAATAATACTCAATTGTTTCTTTAACAATTTTTTCATGGTAACTATATTTTATAGGTCCTCCAAAGCCCTTAGAAGATGCAATGGGGGACCAATAAAAATCTTGAATCATAAAAAATGGTTAAATAAACAATTGGATATTAATACTGGAAGTCTCCTGAAGAGAACCACGGTCCGATCCACCATTTATACGAAAAATTGTTTTTTCTCCATATAAAATACATGGAAAACTTTGAGCGCTTTGAGCACTCCCTAAATATTTTTTGATTTCAAAATAAAAAAATATGGGTAATTTTTTTCGGTATAGAACAATCCTAGGGGGTGGCGGCATTAAAAATCCGACCTTATTTTTTTACATACATTTTTGGACCACTTTAATGTACATAGTAGGAATAACATACCTACCTTAAAACTTGTAATGGATCCAACAAATCTTCGTTAACATATGTGCAACATGGGGAGCTCGTTTCTGCGTTCATGACAGAATTAAGCGACATTTTCCAAAAACTAGTGGGAAGGACAGAATTAAGCCGCAACCATATATCTTTGTATAGGTCTTGAATAATTCGTGGAACGTTCTTTTGAAAAACATGAGGCATATTCTCCACTATTAGATCTGTATACTGCGCCAAGTCTTCAACGGGAAGCTTTAAAAGAGCTTTAAAAACTCGTATGGCTATTGAAGATTTAGTACTTATTATATCCAGTGCCTTAATTACGAGGGATCGATCAATTTGCTTATTTAACATGAGATTTGATGATACGGAAATTGATGCATAATGCTCCTCCATCCAATCGTCAACCATACTTAAATGAGGATAGTTGGATATAATTAAGCGAAGTAATGGATGAAATAGACCGGCATAATCGATCTGATATTGTTCCGCTTTCTGTAGCAAATACTTCATTGGAAGCTCTGCCAAAAAGTTGTTCGAGTACTCCTTTATTTTCTTTCCAGCCAAGGACTGGTTGTGTGTATTACAAAGACGCGTATCTTCATATAGAACCAAATAATATAATATGAGCAATTGTGCGGTTAAAGAGCACTTGACTTCAATGCTCATTATTTCATCCATTTCGGTGGATGTTGCACCGAATGTTAACATTTGTGATACTCCGAGAATATTTTTACTATCAATTGTAGTAGTCTTGGACGACTTGAAAATGTATAAAATTTCATTTTCGGAGAAAGGTTTGTGCATATGATCGACATTTACTTTTCCTAACGGATTCGGCACTATTAGTGTGTTGACATACACTTCGATTAAAGCTGGCATAACTGGATGTACTGGTCGAACAGAACTACAAATTTGTTTGTAAATCCATAGCTTAATAGGTACTCTATGCTTCAGAAATGCCCGCGACTTTAAAAGTTGATGTATGCAATGCACTGAAAGATAACCAGAAATGTTCGCATTTAAATTTGGAGTTACAGGTACTCGAACTGCATGAGACGCTACGACCTGCTCAGTAAATAGATCTTGCGTGAAAACCTGTTTTATGCGACTCGTACTATTTGGCCGGATAGGAATTTTCATTGCTAGAGTTGAACAAACCAATTCGCTAATTGCCGTAATTTGATTACTATGAAAGTGTATTGCGAGCAGAAGCAGCATTTCACCCAACGACGCAGTTGTGTCTGATTTTTTTCCGAAGAACTTATCCTCCTTTATGAGCCATTGTAGCCATTCAACTGCTTTATTTTCAAGAAGAGTTGTAGAGACAAGCGATGGGCACGCTATAAGCATGCAAAGTGCTAGTGAAACAAACCGAAGTCCAGACTGTGTAGGATGTGGGCGACTTGTAACCAATTGAGTTAACACATTAACTTCGTCATCATTAAATCTGAAATAAAAAACATAAAATTTCTACATACTGTAACCATTAACTATGTGAGTAAAGCTGCATTTATATATATGGTATGAAGCATGTCGCAATAAACAGGTGAAGTGATAAAACAGCTTTCTCGCTTTATTTTCTGTCATTTGGCTATCTTATAAAAAAAATTTGAAGGAAAATTTTCAAATAAGATAGTAGTGTCAAAGCATGGTGAAATTATACCGGCTGTAGCAATAAAACAGCATTCTCACTTTATTTTCTTAGATTTCTTGACATTCGGCTCTTACAGAATTTTTTTTAAGCAAATTGTCCAATAAGATAGTGTCAAATCTTTCTTCCCGCTCTTACCCCACGTCTCCACCTTCTACAGATTATGTTAAAAAAAAACTGTGTTAAGACAGGTGGAGACCGCAAATTTCCACTGTTAAACCATATCTGTCTTGCCCAATTTCTTATCATCGCTGTCTTAACATCAGCTGTCGTTTCGAAGTTTGACAACTCAGTTTTCATTTTACCGCGCCAACTACATTGGGTATAGATCGATCTGATTGGCTTGTTGGCATTTTGACAGTGATATGTTAAGACAGCAAGTTGCCCACATGAGAAAACGGGACAAAGTTAAAACAGAAATTTGACATATGTTAAGACACATTTAGTAGAAAATTGAGACGTGGGGTTATTACTTCACATGGGGCTGTATTCTGGAGCTGTGAGTTTTCAAGTGTACACTGAAAATTGTGTACGCTCTAGAGATGCCCACGGTACTGATTTCAAATTGGTTGGGATGGGTGGCATCGGGAAGGTCTGTAAAAATTTTGCGGGCGGGACGGTACTAAAATCCTTTCCCGATACTCCCGATAAAACCGCAACCTCCGCAAATACAGAAAATCTTCCTTAAAAACGATGTATGAAATATGCAATTTTTTACGATTTGTTGAGACGAAAACGAACAGCAATGCAAAATAAAATAATGGGAAGATGCCAGATCTTTTTTATTTTATTATTTAAAATTAATTTGAAAGATAGTAATAGATTTCGGGACCCGCGGTACAATTCTGAAAAACATCGGGATGGCGGGTCTTAAAAATTGACTTTCGGGATGGGCGGGATGGGGATTAAATATTAAGTCTTGAGCTTATCTCTACTACACTCTTCATTTTGCGATTCAGCAACTGAGAGAATGAGTTTTAACTGTCAATATTGTATACACTGTTCTTCCGAAAAACTCACAGCATTTTATTCAGTGAGTGTTTGGTTGTGAGTTTTTCACTCCGTGTACACGGCATTTTCTCAAAGTTACAGAATCCAACCCCTGGTATAATTTCGGTGCCGTGCAATCAATTGTAATTAATCTTGCTTTAAACGTCAACGAAAGTATTGTATATTGGTAAATATTCAATTCAATTACGCGCATATTAAAATGATCGTTCTGAAAAAGCATCCGTGATGTGAATAAACAAGATAAAAACAAAAAAAATATATATATAGTTAATTTGCATGTTGCCTGCAGTTTAATTCGAACCGTGACCCTCTCTGGATATCAACAAATTATAGCAAGCATCTTTGCGCACTCATCTACAGCCACACTGTCAGCAAAACAGTACAATCACATGGTAACTCTTCGCAACAATACAACGACATGACAACTGTGCACTGAATGGGGCCCTTCTTTCACTTCGTCGTTGAGTAAGCACCTAATTTGTAACGCGCACTAGCATGCGCCAAAGTGTCAATTAAATTAGTTAAATAAAGTTTGAAGTTTTGCCGCAAAGGCATTTCTAAGCTGTTTCTTTTTATTCATTTGTCGACATTAAGTTACAAATTTGCTTACAACATTGGTACATTCGAGTTATACCAAATTGTCTTTGCATAAAATACATACATATTTTCCATGAATCAACCAACTTACGAAGATTCGTGGAAGGGTCAGCCATATTTGTCGATCGGTTCGGCGCGTCACCAGTGATCGGACTTCTACCACATTGTGGTAGATCTGCCACGTTTTTGAGCATCTACCACATCTACCACACAAGGTCGGAAATCTACCACATATTCGCGTTTTTGAGTAGTTTTAGTTAATTTTAAGAGTAAAAATTGTCCAACACTAAACACTAACAACAGTCAAAATGTGAGGATAAAATAAAGTGTTAAATATTAAATTTTCTCAATATTCGATTTATCGACAGGAAACGTGATTTTGTTGTGTTAAATTGCAAAATATCGCTAGCTTAGAGTGCAAAGTTGCTAAGTCCATTTTTTTCAATTGTACAGGAGACACAAAAAACGTTCCTAAGCAATTTTCTTTAAGTATTTTGCAAAACTTTGAATGCAATGTTTCGCGTTTTTCATTTACCCTTTATTAAAAAAAAATAATAAAAAAGTGTGCTTTTTTACAAATTTTGTAGATAATTTTGTGACAGCAAATTTTCTACTTTTTTCTTAAATTTTTTTTGTTGGACTTAGCAAATTAGAACAAATTGTTTAGGTTCTTTTAATAAATACACAAGGGAACAGTGATTTTGTTGCATCAAATGTTAAAGCTGTTTTTGATAGACTTTTTTATGCTGATTACTATAAGTGACCATCAATTCAACGTGCAGGGATGGTATTTTCAGAGATAGTACTCGAGACTTCTAGCTTTAATTTAAGCCTAATATTGATAATGATTTTCAACATATTATTATCATAAATCAGTAATAGCAAGTCTCGCCTTCAGTTTGGTAATTATTACGTGCCGATCGAGTAACATTTACCAAAGTTATATCGAAAAACTTAAGTGGATCTCCAGTTTTTTTCTCAAAAAAAAATCTTCAATTTTATAAATAACCTTTAAATGAAAGAACCGGATTACAGAAAAGTATGCCAAGGAGTGACTTTTTTCGTTCAAGCTGAATGCAAAGCAATATCGTCCAATTGGAGAGACCTCAAAAGGATTTTCCAGGATATGTTAAAGACTATCGCATTTACCTACCTACAGTTACAAATAATGAAATTAACTAAAGTATACACATTTTTGCACGTCCCCTACTTTCATATAACGGCAAATTTAGAAACCACGAAAAATGGACTCAAAATGGGCGTTTCTCGCCCTAATTGTATTATGTTAATGTATGCAAATACTTATATTTATGCTTGCAACTACTATTAACTTATCAAACGATTCCTAATCTTGGACAATACATGTTACACTTCATTCACCATGATCTAGAAAACTGACCAAATAGGCGTGACCAAGTCCACGGTCCTTTTAATATTATATAAACATCCGAAAGCATTAAAACGTTTGAAATAAATCTCGTCTCGCTTTTTTGTATTTTTCACTTGGTTGCTGAAGTAATGAAGAATTGAAAATTCATAAGGGAAAATTATAGTTTTCTTATTTTTTATTTTAATATCTCAAAAATTTGTATACTTATTGAAAAATGATAAATGAACGTGAGGTACTAAATTTAATAACCCTTAATTTGATATATCGTCCTGTTTATAACAATTAACGCATTCCATAGATATTACAAGCCAAAGTTTCATTTTCAAAATTCATACACTTTGATTCAATTGCGCGGGCTAAAGATAAGTTTTAAATTAATCTTTCTTGGCCAATAACAATTAGCTTAGACCTAAAACATCATAATATTACTATTACAACACGGTCTAATGCCTTTTATTTTCCCCCATGCAAAATCGACCCAGCCTAATATAGATACATACATGTGTATATAAATATTCAAAAATAATGTTGTTGCACAACCCTCAATACAAATCGAATTCGACAGCGTAAAAAAATATTCATATTTTTTTGGACTTATCAAATTTTCTGTGACTACTTTGGACTTAGCAATTTTGCACATCACGGAATAAAACGTGTAGAAATAAAACAAGTAGTTAGATCCTTTCAGAAACGGTGCATTTTCAATTTTCCTTGCTTCCTGCACCAAAAACTAATTGTTCATAAAAAATGGACTTAGCAACATTTCACTCTAAGCTAGCGATATATGATTTATAACAGGGCTGCAAACCAGTTTTGAACCGAACCGTCGCTTTTTTCGACCTTCAAACCGAACCACGAACCGCACCATTTTTATTTTGAAATGCCAAAACCGAACCGAAAACCAATCCAAATAAAAAAATTATAGTTTAAAAAACTAAAACCTCCCTATTATAACTGCCATTCGTACTGTCATCAGGTATGAAACTTGAGAATAGAAATCGCAGCATCTTTTAGGCGCATCAATATTACATAGTTACATCCCGAGCTAATAAAAGGAAGGTAAAAATGGTTCGGTTCGGTTCAAAGTCCACTTAAGCATTTTGCAAATTTTGTAATACACTTTTGAGTTTAATGGCATCTCTGTGTCGTCCATAAATAAATTCTTAAAATGTTTTTATTTGCATGGCAGAAACTTCATATCACCGCCAGCAAAAAAAATTCTAAATACTCAGATTTCATACAAAAATTTGTATCAAAAATATACAAATACAAATATTGCCAAAAGTCAACATAAAACTTTGAACAGTTTTCATAGTTTTTGTTAGACGATGAACTATACTTAAAAAAAAAAAAGCCTAACTTGTTAAAATGTCGCGTCCCTATTTATTTTTCCACTACTACACACACGGATATTTGAATTTGATCTCAATAACAAAGCCTTTTATTTTTATTTATATACACAGACTTGTCATATTTTTTAATATTTGTATCCTTTAGCATTGAACCATTTGAACCGAACCGAACCGCGGTTCAGGAATACTCATGAACCGGTTATTGAACCGGTACAAGCTTTTTCTAAGTGGTTCGAACCACTGAACCGAACCGAGCCGTTTTTTGGAGTGATTTATAAAAGGAATTAATAGCGAAAATGGTAAAAAACGGCGATTTTTGTGAAAGTATTAGCAAATTGCAGTACATCTAAAGTTTCTAAAGCGTTCTTTACTTTTACTTGAGAATTTTCAAAATTGGCAAATCCCAAGTGGCAGTTTCTGGAACGTGCCACATTTGTTCGCTATAT